TTATGGTAGTTAAATATTTTAAATCAATGTAAAAAGCCGATATATTATTGAATAGCATACAAAGCGGCGAAAGCGCCACATAATCTCGCCATATCATCCGATCCATGTCAAAATTTAGTTTTTTAATAGAGTTAATTACTCATACAGGAGTAAAAGTAATAGAAATTGCACATATAGGAGTGCAGACGGTAATAAAGTTTAGTAGGAGTAAAATATACATGGGTGGACCAAAATAACCCTAAACTAATTATGAGAAGAAATTGGATAAGTGGTGCCAGAACGGGAAGGACAATTCGCAGTGAAGAACTTCTCTCTCATGCCATTTCTTGCCGCCCGCCGTCATATCCCTCCAACGCCTCCCTCACAGGTGTTACCAACCATTGTCGCCTAGACCGGATTCACCATCCGCCGCCGCCGCTCTGGTTATCGTAATCACCTTTTATAATATATGTCGCCACTACCCATTCCTAGGCCACACTGCACCTCCGAGCACAACCGTCTCGAGGAGAACTTCAATGTCATAATTCTGCCATTAAAGTAGCAAATTTAGCATTGAAAATTTAATTTCAAATTTGCATGAACAAGAATTCCGAATCTGGCATAAAGTTGACAGATTTATTTTGGAATATTAATTCAAAACTGCCATTAATTTGGCAAAAATATGAACTCAATAACCATAAACTCAAAAATTATTATTTCTAATGGAATAACCTCTTTAAACAATAGGAAATCAGAAAAATGAAGTTAATTACAAAAAATCATAAGAACATGTTCACAAAAAAGTATTTCTTCCATATTAGGATTATCAATCTACAAACTTCTTCCATAAACTTGGCAGAATATGAAGTTTTGTTACTATAACTTGGCAGAATCTGAAGTTATCTTCCAAAATTTTAGAAAATCATTTTTTTTAAACTAAGAACTCAGAAATCGGAAGTGTTAAATAGAAATGTGAAAATTGGAAAAATCAATTCAAATCCAGAAAAACAAAGAAATATGAGTATAATAAAAAAAATTATGTCAATACTCAGAAAAATAGAAGGAGAGGAGAAGAAGGAACCTCATAGGCGGTGGTGCATGGTGAAGTAGCGACGGCGTGAAAGAGCAAGAAGTTGATCGATGTTATGTCATATGTGTGCAAGCTGATTCGGCAATAGTGAGCAGGGGAGGGGCGTGTTCAAGAGAAAAGGGGGAAAGAGGGATATCTGGCAGGAGATAAGAGAGAATCATACGTGTGAGAAGCTAGGGAGAAGAAAATATCAACGCAGGGAGAAGAGGATAAGGGGATAAGGGGTAATAATGGGATGCTAAATTCTTATGTTTTCAATAGGAGTAAATTGCTCCTATTTGAGGAAAAAAAACATACATACTCTTATTTAAGAATTTCATACTACTTTTACTCCTATATGGGGCAATTTCTCTTTTTAATACTCCGTACATTATATTTGTTTTATTATATTCTATTTTTGATTACATTTTAATATGGAAACATAAAGTTGGATTTTTTTTTCATGATTTAGGACGCTCATTCAGTCCATTCAACTAGAATTTAATCAATTTTAGTAAAATAAGTCGATTCCGCCAATTTTAATATTATTATCAAAGGAACTTTATATTTAGACTCAGTTTATTTTACTAGTAATTATATTATATATATGGAATCAAAACTATTTAGATTAATGATATGATGATAATGATAGTTGTGATGTAGATGATAACAGTAAATATAATTATTGCCTTTATATAATACCCGTATAAAGAAGACTTATAGAAAAATAAGTTTGGACAATGTACTAGCTGCTCTGCACGAAATACTTTTGTAAAAAATTTAATTTCGAGTTCATATCATAACTTCTATTTTGAATCGATCGCCATTATCAAACATTATTTTTTATCAATTACGTAATTTTTATAGATGTGCTAAATTCTGTAACCACAACGGGCTCTTAATAATATCATGTACCGCGTATTTTAGTTATATATGTACTCCGTATATAACTAAAAAAATATACACACGAGAAAAATATGATCTAATTTCTTTAGTTGATTGATTTTTATAATAGTTATATGCATGGTCTTTGGCAGTCAAAGGTCACGGATGATCAATTAGCATGGTACGGTGCCGGTGGTACGACCTCCTCCTGAACCACCACCATGAGATGTACGAGATGCTAGAGTTTGTGAACGTTTTTCTTGTAGTTTTTATCTGTTTGTTATTTGTTTTCTATTGTTGTTAGGTTTGACTGTTTGTTTGAGTTTTTTGCCTCTCTTTATGTCAAATGGGTATGATTGGATCTATGGGAACAGGTTTGGTTGTGTCAAGCTCACTACATGGTTAGCGATTCGTGCTGCTCTATCAAGGGTACGGTGAGTAGGTGACGTCTCAAAGTCTCACCATAGGGTTACAGTCGTAGTTGTTGGAGTTTTAGTTGGTGTCAGTTTTTTTCTCTTTGCTTGCTGATGTAATGATCCTGAATCTTTTGATATGAATAGAGGCCTGTTTGATGATAGAAAAAGTTATATTGTCCTAAATAGGAGTAATGAGTCACTAAAACGCACAAATAGGAATACTACTTTCTAAATTCCTTAGAAGCTGTTCTCTTCACCTGATCTGATTGTTTCTGATCTGAATTTTTTAAGTTCTGATCTGATCTGATCTGAATGTTTCTGATCTGATCTGATCTGAATCTTTCTGATCTGGTCTGATCTGATCTGAATGTCCCTGATCTGATGTTCCTGATCTGATCTGAATGTTCCTGATCTGATCTGAATGTTCTTGATCTGATCTGAATGTTTCTGATCTGATCTGAATCCTTCTGATCTGATCTGAATCCTTCTGATCTGGTCTGATTTAAATATTTCTAAAATTATAATTATAATTTTAATTTTTATTATAATAATTAGAAATGTAATTACACACATATAATTTAAATATAATTATAATTATAATCATAATTATAAAAAAAATTATAATTATAATTATAATAATTATAATAGGTATAATTATTATTATACGTATTATACTAGTTATAAATATAGCTATAATTAAAGGAAGCGGTCCAGCTCAGGTCGCCGACTCACTCTCCCTTATGGGAGGTCTCAGGTTCGAAACTCAATGAGGTGAGTTTCAACCTAGTTTACGTCAGCCCCCCCCCCCCCCCCCAGACCCCCTCCCCCAGACGTCTCTTAGAGTAAACAAAAAAAAAGATATAATTATAATTGTAATTATATTTTTAGTTATAATTATTTCTATAACTATAATTTTAATTATAATTATAATATTTATTTCTATAATTTTAATTGTAATTACTCCGTGTAATATAATAATAACAAAAAAAATACTAATAACAATAACAATAACAACCATAATAGTAATAAGAATAATAATAATCACGATAATAATAAATATCATAATAATAATAATAATCATAGTAATAATGATGATGATGATGATGATAATAATAATATCAATAATAGTTACAATAACAACAAGAATACTAATAATAATAATAAAATAATAATAATAATAATAATAGTAATACAAATAGTAATAATAATAGTAATAATAATTGTAATAATAATAGTAATAATAATAGTAATAATAATAGTAATAACAATAGTAATAACAGTAGTAATAACAGTAGTAATAACAGTAGTAATAACAGTAGTAATAACAGTAGTAATAATAGTAGTAATAATAGTACTAATAATAATAATAATAATAATAATAATAATAATAATAATTATAATTATTATTAATATTATTATAATTATTATTATAATAAAAGGGATAAATCATGTCTGAACTTTTCTGATCTGATCTGAATGTTCCCGATCTGATCTGAATGTTCCTGATTTGATCTGAATGTTTATAATCTGATCTGAATGTTTCTGATCTGATCTGAATGATTCTGATCTGAATCTTTCCGATCTGATCTGATCTGATCTGAATTTTTCTGATCTGATCTGATCTGATCTGAATAAAATAAGAATAAGCAATAAGTAATAAGATTAAGACGAACAGAACAGCTTCTTAAATAGGACTAAACATTGATTTTCTACCTTAAATACCCCTAAGGGTATTAATTCAAAAGAATTGTTTTAATTCGTAATAAAATCATAAAAATAATGAAAAACGTTAAAAAATAGAAAAAACGTAAAGAAATTATAAAAAATTGATAAAAATATTCATAAAAAATATCATTATTATTTTTTAAAATAAAAAACAATAAAAGCACATAAAATAATATGAATATCTTTCCCATCACCTCTCAGCATCAACACCTCTGATCGGTGAAATTTCTTTCATTTTGAAAAAAATGTCTATCCTTTTTCAAAAATGCCAAGAACATGACATATTTACTCTTCATTATGCCAACATTTTCATTGATTTTGCCATCATTATGGTATTATTTAAAATGTTGGCATATTTTATCCGGTGATGAGAGTTGGTGATGTTGGGATGGCAGAGGTGGCGGCGTTTTTCTATTTATGCGCGCTTTTAATTTTTAAATAGAATAATTTTTAAATTGATAAATTCATATTTCTATTTTTAGTAAAATATGGAAAAAATACGTTTTATATGAGAAGTAAGAGTTTTTTTTCTTTTAAAACATACCAACATTATTTTTTCATTTCAAACTTGTTTTTTTGTTCAAAAAAATGGTACGTGTTTGAAACGTGTTTAAAACGGCCCAATGCACTTGTGTCATTTTGTGGTGTCATCTTGCCTTTGCTAGGCACCTATATATAGCGGATGACCGGTGGGCGTAGCTCAACTGGTAGCGAGGGAGTGCCACAAGGGTTCGGTCTCGGGTTCGAATCCCGGCAACTGCGATGAGGGGTTACTATGCTGAAAAATGCATAGGGCTTCTGCAAGTACCGGGGACAGAGCCCCACTCTCTATCTGGGGTGTCATCTTTTTTTTACCTATATATAGCGGATGGACTACTTCCAAAATGCATGGGGTGTCATCCTTTTTTTACCTATATATAGCGGATGGACTACTTCCAAAATCGCAGCCCTAGAGTCAAGTATTCTACAATGGATGCAATAGACGGAGGTTCGTCAGAGTCCCCAGTTTCCACAATGGTGGATCCTCCGCCCCCGAAGATAGCAACAGACGCAGGATCTGACTGTGCTTCCGACAAAGAATCAGATATATTTTACATCGGAGAAAGAAGATTCCGCAAAGCCAACGTCAAAGATAAGGAATTTCAACGACAATCTCTGCTCTTCGAAGACCAATTCGTCCGGAGCGAGGTAAACCCTAACACATCGATGTGTTTACGTTTCAGTGGAAATCTATGGTAAACGGCCTATTCCACATCCAGAATCATGGTGATTAAATGCTACGTTGTTAACGGGTTGATGGGTCGGTGGGCGGTAGCTACTAGGTTTAAGGCCAGGAAGCGGTTAGGGCTCATTCATCCAATACTAAATTTATATCACACGCTTTAAATCTCTGTCTACTAATATTAGTATTACTAGACGAAGTACCCGTGCGATGCACGTGTATATCTAGAGTGAAGTAACAACCTGTTTGAAATTACATTATATATGAGCAACTTTTTAATAAATAAAAAAGGGGAAATGTCAAATAATTTCTTCTATTATTTCCAATTCATGACTTAAGTCTCATATACTAAAAAAGTACCATATACTACTTATCGTTTAACCGGTTTTTGACCTGTAATAGCATTTTTTTATTTCAAAACTTTAAAAATTTGTTAAAATTCGAAGAGTTATATAAAAATTGTGGTCCAGCTCAGCTAGTACTCACTCTCCCTCATGGGAGGTCCCGAGTTCGAAACTCATTGGAGTGAGTTTCAACCCAGTTTACTCCAGGCTCCCCCAGACCCCCTGACGTGCACTTTGTCGTGAGGTGCACTCAAAATAAATATCAATACGACACTAATACGTAGTATAGCGAAGTAAGGTTCGTATCCTCAGGGAAAGGAATATTTCTCTTTTTAATTAACTAGTAACAAAGGGGGGTTTTTAGATTTGATTTGATTTAATTAACACTAAGATGAATGACTTAAATGAGTTTAATTAATGAGAATTAAGAAGACTTGGTTTTGCTTTTATCCACTTAATGAAATGTTTGTCGATCCCGGTTATATCTTTAACTATCTTCCTCTCGAATACCCAATCGAGGAGTATATCCAGTTCATCGAGGGTAGTTATTAATAACGAGAAGCGTTCATTAATAAAACTTACTATCGAGTCAATATAGAACAAGTGCCGTATATTAAATTGATAGTAGCAATAAACTTAAGATGAAAACGATTGAGATTGATAACCTCAACACAAGCGGTTTATTGGTTTAATCAATATAATTAATTCCCCTTAGATTATTAACCATGAGATGCATGCATTAATAATTCAAGTTTACTACCATGAAAGGACCGACTTAATAACAAGCGTATTAATCGACCGATTCTAGTATTAATTAATATATGAAACAAAACTAGTTGATCCTTTAAGTAATGTTCAAAATATTAATATGAAATATGAATAGGAATTAATTAATACTCAAGAAAGAATATTAAAGAAGATGAATCCTACTATAGTTAACATCAAGATGTTAACTAATTGTCAGCTTAGTAACACTCCCCAATATTAACGTAGCGGAAGAAATAATTATTACTATAACTAATGTCAAGATGTTAACTAATTGTCATCTTAGTAACACTCCCCAACATTGATATAGAAATAGTATTTAAAGGAAGAATTAATATTCAAGGAAAAAGATTAAAGAGAATAACTCACAACTTACAAATTCATTAAGCTTCAAAGTAGCAAAACCTAGCTCCTCATTTGGAGACTAAACATGCTATAAAAATATAAAAGAAATACTATTCTAAACTGAGCTTAAGAGTATGGAAGAAGGGATATCTAAAAGTGAAGGAAAGGAGGTGTATTTATAGGCTTTTTGAGGTGCAGGTCGGGTACTCGATCGAGTATATACATATACTCGATCGAGTATGTGTAGAAATCAGAATTCGGTCAATACTCGATCAATACTCGAGTAGATTTTATATGTATACCCGATCGAGTATGTCGGTGTACTCGATCGGGTATGACAATAGAACGTGGCCAAATCTTTCCTTGCATGTTCATTTGTTCCCGGATCGGATCTTTGAAAATCAGTTATTGGTACTCGATCGAGTATAAGGTATACTCGATCGAGTATACCCCAAAATCAGGAATTTATCCTTCTTTTTGTCTTGTACTCTTGCACCTTCCTTCACCATTGATCATTTGATTGATCTTGGCCCTGTTTAAGCTCAGAATAAATCTAATCTAAACAAATTACAAGAATTTAACAAACTAAACTATTACACCGAAAGTGTGTAATTTCCGAAATATTAAACAATAAAAACTAACTAAAAACGTAAATAAACATACGGAAATTACAAACGTATCACCCCCCTCCCCCAGAAGTCCCCTGGAGTAAAAAAAAATAGAATGTCAAAGATTTTATTCAGAACTATATATATATATTCTACATCTTTTTTAAAGTTATCACATTTGATTTTTATGTTTTTTACACTTTCATTTTATTTTTTGTCTTTTTTCTATTTTTATTTTTTATGACAACCTGTTAAAATTATCTATACATTTTTTATTTAATACTATTTTATATTACGATTATTACACTATTTTTTTAATTATGTGAATTTTTATAAGATTAGCCAATTGCTATATTAACATTATATCATAGCAAGTTAAAATGACTTGATTGAAGATGTTTCTATAGTAACCATGCTTATATGATAGTACGTACTTTTTTTAGTATATGAACTTAAGTGATGTATTGAAAACAATAGAAAGGTTTATTTGACTATTTTCCTTTATTGTTTTAAACAATTGCTCATCACTTTTTTCTTTTTTTTATGTTTTATGATAACTTGTTAAAATTATCTATGCATTTTTTTAATTAATACAATTTTTTATATTATGATTATTGCACTATTTTTAAAATTTATATGAATGTCTATAAGATTAGTCAATTGCCTTTTATATTAACATTGTGCTATAGCAAGTTAAAATGACTTGATTGATAGTGTTTCTATAGTAAACATGCTTATATGGAATTACACACTTTTTTTTTAGTATATGACTTAAGTGATGTATTACAATGTTTTAAAACAATGGGGTAAGGTTTATTTGACTATTTTAATTTCCTTTTTTATTTTAAACAATTGCTCATTACGTACTATTAAGTTTCATGCAACGTTCTGACATTTTCTTGTACGCTTTTGTTATTCTCGCATATAGAACAATTGGTTGAAGCAGTTTTCCATTTAACATTATACCCCCCCCCCCCCCCTCCCAAAATATTGTATCAAAATAATTATCCCATTTCATTTTTTTTTGAAAAAAAGTCTACCTTAAAAGAAGCTACTTGTATAGTACATTATACTATACACTACTTATATAGTACCAAAAACATCATCACATCTTACTTTTTGTAAAGTCTACAATAATTATCTTAAATTACTTGAAAAGCTAAGAGCTCATTTGATGATCCTGTTTTTCGGCTTTTCAAACTTATCAGCCAACTTTTTCATCAAACACACAACTTTTGATTACTCCGTGCTGAATCAGTGAATTGAGTAATATATAATAAGAAAAAATGAGATTGGTGTTGCTTTTCTGGCTATATTGACTGGAGTTACTGTAGAAAATCATTTTAGCTATTTTTCATCTAATATTTTAATTTTATTAATAAAAAATATTTTAAAAACGGAGTATAATTTGTTCATAAATCAGCATAATCAGTCACTGCAGCCACAAAATCATAAATTTTAGCATGATCAGCCAATTCAATCAATTTTAATCTTACCAAACGGGCCCTAAATGTGGTATTTTATTTAATGCAAAGGGAATCTTTTTCCGATGAACTAATTACATGATTCATATGAGTATTGGAAAGTATACATTTGAATTTTTGAATTACGTATAGGTTTGGTAAGATACACCTTCTTTTTATGGTTGTCCAAAAAATATGAACATTTTCTCGAATTAAATATTTATCACTTCCGCACTTCCGCTTTACATTTTGTGAACCAATTTTTTATTTACTTACGTGTTGGATTGGATGTTAGAATTGTAAAATAACCACACTATCCTTTATTTTGTTAAAACCCACATCAAACTCTCACAAACCATCTTAAAGATAGAGATTAATGTCTCATTATGTCCGTATTTTGGGCGGGAATATTTTCTCAAATAATTATAACAACTTTGCTACTTTATACGTAAATTTACACAAAGATAATTTTTTTTATTGTTGTTGTTATGATTATTATGGTCATATTTATGTAATTGTTTATTATTATTATTATTATTATATGTCGGTAGCTATTTTTAGTATTACTATATGGAAAGACGTATTATTTATAGCCAATTATATTTTCTAATTTTGTTACATTGTTTGTACATCTATAATGTGCATATTTTAGGGTAATACATGGTTACATGGTAAAGTGACCAAGTATACCACCAAATAGCAACTTATTTGAAGGTCATTAATGTGGTAAGAATTATTAATAGTTAGTGGAACAAAATTTCTATCACGTAATTAAATCACCTACCATATTGATATTAAAGCATCTTTCAATATACGTAAATTACATAGTATCATAGTTATGGTATGTATGATTAAAAAAAAGGTATGATTACTGGTTTATTTTCAATTTTAATAATTATTGATATCACAACTTTAACAACTATACGTGTATTTTACTTTTATATGACAAATTTGACATTAATTCCCTATAATGACTCTAATTTGGGCGGGATATTTCCCTCCGATCCGATTGATGCCCAGGTTACTTTATATTCGTACTAGATTCTTAACCCGTGCGTTGCACGGGACGTGTAGTTTATATGTTTAATTATGTCAAAGTAAACATTTATGTTTGATTTAAAATATGATTGATAAGCGTGATAAGTTAGAGACATGATCGAGCTATCAAAAGGGATGATAATACCGTGAATAAGAGAACGAAATAATATTGGGAAAAATAATTAAAATACAACAAACTTTGTAGGGGTGTGAGATGAACACCTCAAACTTGCATATGTATTTTAAATAGCTCAAACTTTATATAAAAAGTTATTTTGGCACCTCAAGTATTTTTTTTTTCTAAAATGTTAATTGATGGTGTTAGTTCCATAATTTAAAATATTTTAGAATTCATAATATTGTTACCCTCAATCTATATAATTGCAACAATTTGAATTTACTATTTTAAATTATGCAATTAACTCCATAAATTTACATTTTTGAAAGAAATAATACATGAAAATGGGTCAAGTACCTTGTGGTCTGATGGCATCATCATGGCACTCCCAGAGAGGAGGTCACAGGTTCGAATCCCATCTCAGTTCAAGGATGTTGGCATTAATATTGAGCAGATACTATATAGGTCAGAAAGAATTGTCCAAAAAATACATGAAAATGGTGCGAAAATAATTTTTTATATAAAGTTTGGGGTATTTAAATTACATACGCAAGTTTGAGGTATTTACTTCACACCCCATCAAAGTTTGAGGTATTTTTATTATTTTTCTCAATAATATTTGTAGGACTGAATAAAATAATCGAAATGACCGAGAGGTCGTTTGGCAGCACTGTTTTTCGGCTTATCAGCCGACATTTTATACCAAACATGCAACTTTTGATTTCGCGCGCTGAATTATGTAATAAGCAGTAAAAGTATGGTTGAAGTTATTTTTATGGCTGTTTGGCTGAAGTTACTGCAGATGACCATTTTAGCTATTTGTAAATATAATTTATGCTCATGTTGATACTAACATAGGCAAAAAAACTAAAACAACCTGGGAAATTTCCATTAAATCCTCTATAGTAACCATATGTGTTTTTGTCAAATCATCAGTGAAAGAGACTGTAAGCTGACTGGAAATGCTCCCTATTTCAGATATCCCACAATCCATCCTTGAACCTTGTATGAGTGAATATTAAAAGAAATTAACAATAAGCTAATAAATAATCAATGAATTATTATATGTGAATAATTTTGAAATACGGAGTTTTAATTGAAAGTCTAAAAAGAAAATTTAATTTTGTATGAAAAAGTATTAATGTAGTTGAATCATTGATCTGGAAAAAAATAAGGCAAAAAATTTGACAAACAATTTCCCTATATTCGATCATTCTTGTTCATTATTAAGAAAATTCTGCTAGTCCATATATTTATTTATATTGAGTAGGCAGTTTTTAAAATGAGTTTATAGCCGCCATGTAGTCCGTAACAGCAAACAACTTAGGATTGATGTACAACTTTATACCACGAAAAGCGTTTGTCAAGCCGATTATTCCTACAAATTGCATAATATGACTTGGTTTAAATAATTGATCGCATATATGCAGTTCATTTGTAGTTTCAAATAAAGTCCATTACCATTATATGTCTTCATCAAGCAGTCTTGCAAAATTATGACAACTGGCCCTGATGGTTCTTCAATGTATAAACAATGATACATCTGTATAGCTAGATCTTCCCATACGGTGCATGGGATACGATTATTCCTAGGGAGGGATGAACGACAAATATGCATACTGCACTAATTTGTTTGATTATTTATCGATATTCATGCAAGTGTAAAATACATACTCAAAATCTTGAAGCTCAAAATCAATCAACTTTTTCGTAATCCTGTCTTTATCTGTTGTTTGCATGATTGGATTCTTCCCAACCACGTGACAAATAAGTAGAATTAAATATGTGACATGTTCGTGAAATAAAGAAAGTGAAATTCGTAATATATGATCTACTTTATGTGAACTTACCGATGTAAATACTGTCATCTTTTCCATTTGAAATGTCTACGAACTGCATGAAGTCAAAACCATGCTTTGGTATTGTGGTTGAAGGTGCATTTGTGCACTTTGTGCTGTGAATAAAGTTCAACTTGTATTTATGTGTGGTTGTCCTTCTATATTTGGTATCGTTTATACCAACACAAAAATTCTCAAAAGTGTAAGCAGACTCTTCTTGGAGCAACTTTTCAAACTTTGGAGCAAGATTTTGTTTAATAGTTACATGTATCTTCATACCCCATATTGTAAACGTAAAAAATCATACATGTCGTTATAATAATACTTCGTATGTGAAAGAAGCTGTGTTTAAGTACATGAATTAATATTTTTACCCGCTCATCTATTATAACCATTTCAATAGATCCGGGCTGATTTGTGCTTTTTTCAATGACTCTCCACAAACGGAGAATGCGTGCTTGGATCTTCCAATCCACGGAGCCAGGCTTGACTTCACTCAACACTTCCACTTTAGGAGCCATGAGATACTTCGTTTGATATATGAGTGAATGTTGAATGTAGGTATGGCTTTATATAGACATAATAAAAAAATTGGAAAAATTGATAGTAATAATCCGAACTATTGGTGGTCCGCTCATAATAATCCCAACTATCGATTATTTCAGAATAATCCCAACTTTAGGGACCTTCCGCCAATAATGGTTCGGCGTGACCGGCTATAAATAAATTCTTATAGTTTCTAAAGTGGATGAGAAGTCATATAGCAAGTAATCCCTATAAATAATCCTGACTTTTAATTTTTACGCTTAATTTCTATTTGAAATTCACTTGTTATTTGATCATGGACCATTATTGGCGGATAGTCCATATATATAGTTGGGATTATACAAAAATAATCAATAATAAGGATTATTGTTAGCGGATCGGCAATAATTGGGATTATTATTTTCAATTTTTCCTAAAAAAATTTCTATCTATAATTGGTAAATAAATCTGCCAGTGTGTATTATGGCAATACACGGATATAAATCTGTCAGTGTGTATTATGCCAATAAATCATTGATTGACCCAGAATTGGTCAAGAAATCTTTACAATATAGATCATGTTTCCCTTTTTGGAAAGAAAGATGTGATCCACATCATTTCACATTTTTCTACTCAAATCTCAACTACAACTTTTACCTTTTCAACCACTTTATTAAAATTTGTGTCCAAAAGAAATGAGATCATCAAATTGGGATGGAGGGAGTACCATGTACTTCGGCTGAATTTTGATTTAATTAACATGTAGGGATTATTATTTTATTATATATTGCCCAGCCCCAAACCATGTTCCGTAGGAATTTATTTTATTTTCATTTAATTAACACGTATGGATTATTATATTATAAATTAATGCATTGTATTTCTTACCATCAATAACACGGGTACCCTTAATGGCTACCCACTCGCCACAAATAAATGGCTGAAAAATTGCAATATTTATAGAATGCAGTAACTCCTTGGTCCTTACGCAGCCTATGTAGTCTACACATTTATTTACTTATTTACTTTTCATTACTAATAACATCCCTATTACCGTTCACCATATTGGGCGGGATTTTGAAACAAAAAATGTCAATAATACCCCTAAGTTGGGCGGGATTTGGGAACAAAAAAGGCTCCTCACCTGGTTCCTTTATATAATAATAGATTATATAAAGATATGATACACTTAAGATCATAAAATTGTATCAGTATTTACTACTACAGAACATTATGTGAGATTTAACTTTTGGTGACAACTCCGGTACCCATTTAAAAAATGGGGTACCGTACGTACCATGCATTTGATTGGTCCAAATCATTATATGCTTTTTAATTTAGATTTAAATAATTCAACTGCATCATTCTTATTGGTCCATGTGGACAAAGGTACGGTACATTTGGGGTACCATAGAATCTACCTTTAATTTACTTTTACAATGATGTTATGGCACTTAAAATATGCATTAGTTTCTTATTTTATAAACTCTTCTTCCCATTGACTTCGTCTCTACGGCATGTTTTTTTTTGAACGGATCTCTACTGCATGATATGCATTTGGAATCAGTTATAATTATGTTAAGATAATAATTAAGATCATAAAATTGTATCCATAATTACTACTACCTAGCATTATGCAGGATTGTAATGAACGTATGTATACTTTTATGGAGCATTAATTACATTAATAGCGCAGGTCATAAGTCAATTTTCCATGCACTCGAAATTCCAATTTTACCCTTCATTTTGGGCGGCAATTTTGCCTTCAAAAGTTGTGGCCTGACTGTTACTTTATATTATATAAAGATGTGTGTAAAATAGTAACAATTAAGATACAAGTATTATAGAAGAGGTAAATTGGCACTAGAAAATGGTGATCCTGCATTTTGTAAATGTTTTTCTGCAATCGAGCTTCTTTATGGTGCCATGAATTTTTCAACACACTAGTAATATCCGATATGATGAACCGAGAAAGAAGAGAGGAAGAAAAGAACTATGGAGGTTTGATCACCTGTCCCAGTGACACCTTTTCACATCACCCGAATCACAATATTAGCTATCACGGTTGCTTTCCTCAATTATATTTCAATTGTGTACTGGCCAAATATCTGAGCATCTCGGTGTGTTTAGGGCCCTTTAGAGTATATTGAAGGATGAACAATGTGATATTTCATACTCCCTTCTTCCCACAACATTTTGTCAAATTTCTTCATTTAGCTTTCCCAAAAAAAAAGTTTGCCAATCCCTTTTAAAGTTAAAAATGAGTGGCTAAAGTCATTTCTCTCTCTTCTGCACTAATTTTAATTGAGTAGTTTTTATTTTATATTATTCCACATGCAAGTCAAAGTTTGCCCAAGTTTTGTGGGACGGAGAGAGTATTACCCAAACCTTCAATACCTAGTACTAATCATAGTCAAACTCTCCTTTTGAATTATGTGTCTAGGGTTTCGAAATAACTTGGGATAAATTTGACTACATGTTCGATAGTTTTGATCTGGCTTGGTGGACACCTCTTGAAAGCGACAAGACCAATGAGCAGTTGGTCCGCATCATGATAAACGATGCCATTGACAAGCACAATGAAGAGAATGTGAGTGATTGATATTCTATTCATAATTCATAACATTAATAGTTTTTTATTGAATATTTTTGTTAATGTCCTTGAAAATTCTCACAGGAGAATGCTCGAAAATAGAAACCTTTATCGATTAAGTGATTAACACAAACGTCTGTATTTGTATATATTTATAGAGTAATGATCCTGTCCAGCCGGAGGGACAGGATCCGCCGTTCGGCCGTCGCCATTTGGGGCCCTTCCCGGTAGAATTTTTTGCTGAATTTTTTTGAGTATATGTTCTTCATGAAATCTAGTTTATCCATATTAGATTTCAGCTAAAAATTCAATCAAGAAGGCAGTCTAATGATTTTTGGAAGTTAACTGCGCAGTTTATATACATATAAAACGCAGTAATCTTCCAAAAATCATTTGAGTGCCTTCCCGGTTGAATTTTTAGCTTAAATTTTGTATGGATAAACTAGACTTGATGAGAAACATGTTCAAAAAAATTCATCAAAAAAATTCCACCGGGAAAGGCCTCTAATGGCCTCGGCCGGACGGTGCCTCCCGTCCCTCCGGAGGGACTTGATCTTTTCTGTATATTTATATATATTTATTTATTTATATTTATATATGAGATCCAATCTCAAAGAGTTGCACAAATCAGTCCAAACATAATAATACCTATCTAAAAAGGAAAGAAAGCAGCTGGTATACAATAAAAACAATGTCAAATACGACAATACTTATTTCAAAAGGAAGAAAGCAGCTGGTATACAATAAAAATCATGCCAAATATGACAATACCTATTTCAAAAGGAAAGAAATCTGCTGGTATACGATAAAAATCATGCCAAATACAGCAACTCCTATCTCAAAAGGAAATAAAGTAGCTGGTATACAGTAAGTCAGTAATGTCTCTAGTATGCAATCAAAAGAAGAATTCCAATAATTGCAGCAAACTCTCACACAATCAGCTGGTCCGATGTACGAGAAAACAAGGAAATTTGTCACCCCCTTAAGATGTCAAGAGGTTTGGCCAGCACCATCAGCCACATGCGCTTTAGTTGGAACCTTCTGTAGCTCCACCTCATCAGATGTGATGTGCAGTAGCGCTTATGACCTGCTTCCAACTCGCTTAGTAACCATCAGAGTCAAATAAGTTCCGCCTCAACCTAAAATCCTAAAACAACCCTGTTTTTTGTGCGCCATGAGATATGTGCACCACCAAGTGATACACAGTAACCTGTACGAGAGGGTCTTTTCATTATGCAACCTCCCTAATCTGCTTTTTAGTCTGTTTTAAGTTGCAGCTCACCCGAATTTGGTATGAAGATCACCATAGTTCTCTTTAAATTCTTTGCACAACTCTAAGAGCTACATCAATATGTGACTTCATTGATCATCGACAAACTGACCTAATGTGTTAACCGCATAAGTGACTTTAAGAGGTAAAACAAATGTCTGATTAGTCATTTGTACTGCCCATCATCCTTTCTTATCCCCTCTACATCCATGTCCATTCAAGTCTTCTTCTCCATCAGGGATGCACATTTCGAGCATTTCTTCTGATATGTCAAGCACATCGCCAATTCAATGCCTAAAAAGTACTTGAGAGGTCCCAAATGTAGTGTTTTAATTTTCTCTGCATGATTTCCAGTTTTCCACCAAAAATCGCATAAAAACGCAAATGAGTGTCACAACGAATGTGCCACCGTGTGTAAAGATAATTAGTGAGTAATCACACTTGGATCGGCGAACACCAACATGCAAGAATGCACATGTGAACTTGTGGTACAAATTCCACAAAACCTGTCTTAAGCCATACAACGATAACTTGCACCTTCAAATCTCTTTCTTTGCAAACCCTTGAGGTATTGGCAATCTATGCCTTCAATTTGTCTGAAACATTTAGCCATAGTAGTCATGGTGCATGGCGACGGACTTGGCATAGGGGTAATTTCACGTGGTGATGGCGATGGCGCCAAAATGGCGTTTCAGTAAAACTTAACATTAAAAAACTTTAAACATAACATATATACAATATACGTGTATGACTTAACGACCAGTTAAAGAGTGAAATTGTTAAATAACCAAAGTAGTACAAAAAATAATCCAAATCAAACCAACTTAATATCCATAACTAGTTAATGTCTAAAAAACAAAATTTAAAGTTTGATCTTTATGATTTGTTGACTAATACTCATAGTCATCCACCTCCTCGCTCACGTCTAGTCATCAGACCCATCTTCCCCATCTGACTCGGATAAGAAAAGAACTTCTTCCTCATTCATTTCACTATCAGAAGGATCTTGTATTATATCCATCTCAACTTCATCACGCAACTGATATAGTGTTGATGTCGATGCTCTAGTGTTGTGAGCTGTTTCATTAACGTCAGCTGCTTCTTCCACAACATCCCAATTTTCCATTTCATTTTCCTCTGCAGCCTCATCAATCCATATATTACAATCCTCTAGATCATGTAGGCATATCTTCATTTTCTTAATAGCCTGATCTTGAAGGCGCTGGTTTTGCCGAATGTAAACTAGATCATTCATTTTTTTTGGCAACAACTTTGTTCTTTTCTTGCTTTGGACCTAATATTAAGAGATAATATATTAGTTCATCAGTTATTATTTGTGGAATAAAAATAACTTGGTTCAGAAAATTTACATTCTCAAATGCACTCCAATTTCTTTCGCATCCGGATGCACTACATGTTAAACTAAGGATGCGCACTGCAAGATGTTGCAGAGTGGGAGAAGAACCATTTGAAAGCCGCCAATCAACTGCATTTCCCATATTTAGTTAAATAGATTAAATTTCATGTTTATTTCGAGATTTTGATGAATAATGTTATTTAATAAATTAAGTTTCAGATTTGTATTGATTACCAGGGGGTTGGGGGTTGTTTGTCTCGATTGTTGATTGCCAACTTGGTCTGAAAGCTGCCCCTTGCACTTGTATAGATGGAAATCTCATTTGAGAACTCTACACTTTCACCAATCTCTGTGGCAGCATCTTCTCCATGCATTTGATAAATCCATCACAGACTTCCGCTTCACTCAACACTCGTCGTGAATTCGGATAAAAGAATTGTGGATTTAAATAATATCCCACGGCATGTAATGGAGAGTGAAGATTCTCATCCCAAAGCTTATCGATAATCTTCCACAGGGGCTTGTATTTCTTTTCTCTCCCTCAGTCCCTCTAAATGTGTTTTTGATTTGGAGTTTTGCACTCTCCATAGCTTTATATATGAAACCCATGGGAGGCAAATCTCCATCAACAATTCTTAACACCTTCACAAGAGGCAAATAAATCTTCATAACAAAACCCACACTTTGCCAAAAGGTTTGGCGGTAAACTTCATCACAACATGCTTTGCCCTCTATCGCCTCAAGGCATGTTTTTTGAGTAAGGAGGCTTTGAAGAGTCGAGAAGTTCGTTGCAAATGTGGTTGCGGCTGGTTTCACCAACTCCCTCCCATTGGTAAATTCTTTCATCAAATCATGAACAAGAGTGATTATAAATATATGTAGTAATACATTGAGCCGTCTTGACCATTTTTGCTACTGTTAGTTTTTTCTTAGAAAAATCTTCAAGAATAAGGTCAAGAGAGTGTGCAGCACAACCGGTTAAGATGTGTGGGTATCTTTGATCAATCTTCCTCTTAGCTAACCCATAATTTTTAACATTATCTGCCACAACCTGTATCACACTTTGCAGCCCGATTTCTTGAATCCACTCATCAAACAACTTAAACGCACAAATCATGCCAAATACAATAATACCTATCTCAAAAGGAAAGAAAGCAGCTGTTGTACAATAAAACTCATGTCGATAATACCTACCTCAAAAGGAAAGAAATGAACTGGTATACAATAAAAATCATGCCAAATACAATAATACCTATCTCAAAAGGAAAGAAAGCAGCTGATAGATAGTAACGTCTATGGTATGCAATCAAAAGAATAATTCCATTTAGCGCAACAAATTCTCATGCAATCAGCTGGTCCGATGTACGAGAAAACAAAGAAATTTGTCACCCCCTCAAGATGGCGCATGAAGATTACGAACAATCATCTTGCCGACAAGTGAATGAAATAGGTTCTAAGTCCCAAATGTGCCTTAGTGGAAACCTTCTGCAGCCCCACCTCATCGAATGCAACATGTTCCTGAATATGGAGTAGCGCATAAACTCACTTAGTAACCATTTGAGTCAAATTGGTTCCGCCTCGGTCAAAAACCCTAAATAAACCTTTTTTTGTGTGCCATCAGATAGGTGCACCTCCAAATGGTACATAATAACTTGTTCTAGAGGGTCTTGTCATTATGAAACCTCCCCAATCTGCATCTCACCAATTGTAATTTGAAGCTCACCCGAATGTGGTATGATGATTTCTTGCCCTAGAGTTCCCTTTCTTACCCTCTCCACATTCATGTCCATTCAAGCCTTCTTCTACATGTCGAGCATTTCTTATGATATGTGAAGCACATATTTTCTTTGACTAAGATTAATTCGTCAGTAGCTCTCGCCACTTCAATGCCTAATATGTACTTGAGAGGTCCCAAGTGTCTTAATCTTCTCTCATGATTTCCACCAAGAATCACATAAAAACTAAAAATGGGTGCCACGACGAATTCTTTACGGTGTGTAAAGGTAATTAGCGAGTGATCACACTTGGATCGGTGCAGACCAAAATGCAACAATGCACATGTGAATTTGTGGTACCAATTCCGCGAAAGTTGTTTTAAGCCATACAATGATAAATTGCACTTTCCATCATTTGCAATGGAGCCAGAGATTCATTATTTGTTGGCTTGAGAATATGATGGAATAAAACAAAATGGTTCACTAAACTGTGTGCGCTTCTTTCTTATGAAGCAGCAGTTAGTCCATGCAATTTTCGACGCGATTTCACTATGGGTCATCCGGAAACAGTCTCTCTGTGCTTTAGTACAGGGGTAAGACTGCGTACATCCGAGCCCCCCTTACCCCACCGTAGGTGGGAGCCTTTGTGGCACTGGAGTATTTGGCATACTACACCTTCAATTTGCGTGTAACATTTTGTATCAAAATTCAAAATTGTGTATTGCGTAGTCGTGGTGACTTTTTGGAACTGCATATTGCGTCGTTTGGAAAAACAAAATCGTCGACCAACCAAGTTGGTTTGCTGGATCATCGTTTCGCTGGAGGAAACATGTGAATGGCAAGCGTAATACTCCCACTGTCCCACTAACATACACTGGGACATGAGGGGATGATATTATTATTAAAAGAAGTGAGTTTATGTGGTTGACTAGGATATTAGGTATTTGCAGGCGCTGTCCTGATACCATGAAAAATCTCAAAGGGGAATGCTGGATAACAAAAACTTATAATGATACACACAAAACGTCTGTAACTCTGTACATGCTAGGTAGTTTACTCGCTAGTCGGTAGCTACTCGGTCAAGGGCCGAGTAGCGAGTAGGATCGATTACTCGAGATTACTCGGTGATTACTCGGCTTTAAAATATTGTCTTTAAATTGTCTTAAAATGCATAGAAGTGAATAAAAGGATAGAAATTGTCTTAAAATGCATATAATACGTATACAATACCAGAATACAACTTCAGGAAGCACGAGCAGTGGAAGAAAAGGCAAATATTTTTTTCAGTTTTTTGGCACCTATTCTTATTCCAATTGAAGAACTTCAAAGTAACTTCAAAGTGGCACCTACCGAACAATGAGCCCTCAAAGGTAGTTCCCTAAATACAAATTGCAGCTCACCCAAAACCAAACATGATGCTTTTTTGCTGAGTTATATTTTTCACCTTTCAATTAAGAGATTTTATTTCAGCATTCAACAACTCAGGTCTCAGGGGTACATTCAATACATTCACTTTAGTTGGCCAAAGACTTGAAAATGTACAATGAAAACATCAGTTTAAGAAGCACAAGCAAACGAAGAACAATCCAAACTTCTTAGAGTTTATTACAGTATACAGAGAAGAATATAATAGGCAGCATGAGGGAGAATAAGAAACAACACAGGGGATAATCTCAATTTAATTTTTTTTCCAAGCGAAGGTATTTTTTTTTCTAAATACCGAGTACTCCCGAGTAAATCGCCTTTTTGACCCACTGACCGAGTTGGCTAACTCGCCGAGTACTCGGCGAGTAACTCGGAATAATAACTCGGGCCGAGTAATGTGCTACTCTGCAAGGTCATAGGCCGAGTAGGGAGTACTCACCGAGTACTCGCGGAGTAAATAACCCAGTGTACATGCTAAAAAATTCTAAATGATGCTAAATACAATAATACCTCATGAGCTGCACAAATAATGCTAAATACATTAATACCTAACTCAAAAGGAAAGAAATCATCTGGCATCTAATAATGTCTATGGTACGCAATCAACAGATTAATTCCAATAATTGAAGCAAATCCTCACACAATCAGCTGGTCCCAGCTGGGTCCGTTGTACGTGAAAACAAGGAAATTCATCGGTCCTCACATTTGTTTTTTCAATAATTTCAGGGAGCCAATCTTGAGTTTGTTAAACACGTGAAAACTAATTTCTGGGGTTGTGCTGGTTATTGCTTTTGGATTACATTTCTCGCTAGGGATTTGTCATCAAACTCAGATATTAAAGTTTACCAAACTAAGGTGCGGAGATTTATGGGTAAGAATACGGTGCGTATATTCAGGGAAAGGCCCACAGACGAAGGTATGTGACTTTTTTTGCATCGATTCCTTTGCACATGAGATCTTTTCTTCATACCTAACGATTGCTATCTCGTCCAACATTTCTAATTAACTGTACAACCATGACTACACCACCTTGTTTTTGTTCCTGACCTAATGAATAATGATTTGTTAAGTACGTGGCTTTATGTTCTGAAAACTTTGTTGTTTCCATTTTATCTTTTCATCACGTTGTCCGACTAATTTCTTCTGTACTCTATATATGTGTCCATCCGGCCATTTTAAAAGATCTATGTCTGAAATCGTTGTTGTGACTTTGGCATTAGATATATAAGGTTGTATGCTCTGGTTCAGTCATGATTTTGGTTGTTGTGACTTTGGCATTAGATATATAAGGTTGTATGCTCTGGTTCAGTCATGATTTTGGTGTAACTGAAGATCTCATTAATAACTTCTTACCCCACAATCATAGTTTTCTTGTGATTTTTCCTTACTCAGAAATTGCTTCTGTGCACGTGGAGCTTCCCGAATATGAGTGCTTCAAGTGAGCTAGGTATTGTTTCTTGTTTCACGAATACTGAGCTGTTGGATATGTTGGGGCATTAGACAAACTTCTATATTATTGAATAGCTGCTTCTTAAAGAAAAGACATAATGGGCTAACTTAATGTTTTTGTAATCATTCATTTTTGTGTGTATAAGAAGCTCAAGCATTGCCTCGTTGAATGACCCCCGAAGAGGCCAGGAAGTTGATTGCTAATGGTGTTAAAGACTATAATTATTGCCATAATTATATTGTACTCCATATGTATCGTATTATTATAATATAACAATAACAATCATATTTATCATCATAGATTCATAGCTGTCTTGTCTTTGGTGCAAGTTCAAGCAGTACAAGTCATGTATCCCTTGAGTTTATCTATCCAGGGGTGGAGACAGGGAGGGGCTGGAGGTGGCCACGGCCCCTGCAAGAAAAAAATTCTTAAGTATATATTATGTATAAATACTTTTAATCTGTAGAAAGTATGTTGATATTTTACACTTTGGCCCCTGCAATGTAAAATTGTTAAGGACCGGCCCCTTTAACCCTAAATGTTTGGCTCCGCCACTATATCTATCTATCTATATAATTATGAATTATATGTAGGAAACTGCAAGTCTTCCAGTCTTGAACCAAGAGGATTAGTCTTTTGTAGTTAACTTGTTCATTCATAAGCCAGCTACGGAGTATATGTTATTCCTCATTTCTAAAACGGCTTATGAAATTGCTCAGTTTTCTTCCACCAATTCTCCTTCACTAAGGGTTCGTTTAGTCACATTGAGGTGTTAATAAATTTCCTTTCACTAATGCTAAGAAAATAATTATTTGCTAAATTGGAGTTTAGGGATGCACCCGGGCAGGTTCCGGTTCGGGCTTTGGCCCCGCCGGGCGTTTTTTTTAGGAAGGGAGAACCGGAACCGGCCCGGGTAGGTAGCGGTTTTGTGCCGGGCCGGACCGGGCCGTTTCCGGTTCAATGTTATTTTTTTCCTTTTGCTTTTCTAATTAACCCCCCCCCCCCCCTCACCGCAAACCCCCTCCCCCAAAACTAGGGGTGGACTCGGGCCGGGCCAACCGGCCCGGTCAACCGGTTCTTAACCGGTTCGGGCCACCCGGCCCGGTGGTATAGCGGTCCGGGCCTCCATTTTAGGGAACCGGCCCGGCCTGGTTCGGGCCTCCAACGGCCAAATTTTTTTTTATTTTTTATTTTTAATTTAAAGAGGCTCCTAGCCGTTGGGAAGGCTCCCAAACGGCTCTATAGCCGTTGGGAGCATAGGAGGGGGGGTCTGGGGTGGGGTGGGGGTCGGGTGGGGGTGGGGTATAAAAAAAATCTATTTAAACTCCTATTTTCTCTACATTTTTTACACATCTTCTACAACTCTTCCTACTCTCTAATTCTCTACTCTAAATCTCTCATATTCAATCATCTTCATTCCTCATCTTCTCCAAATTCTTTCTACATATGTATAATTTATATAATTATTATATCTACTTATATATTAATTATCTATTTATAAATATATACTTATACACATTCATATTATAATTCTTTACACGTTATATATACTATATAAGTATATATACTATACACATTCACATTTACTTGATATTTAGTTATTATCCATACTATTGTTATTTACTTATATTTACATATTACATTTAGTTAATATATACTTATATATATATATATATATATATATATATATATATATATATATATATATATTAAAGTATTAAGTATAAGTGTATTACTCATCTTATAGTAATATACTTATATATTATATACTATAAACATTATATTATTTATTTGATGGATTAATTTAATCTAGAGAGAAGGGAGAGCTAGAGAGATAAAATGATATGTATAATGAATTCCAATCAACCATCCAATCCTTTACATGGCTCCCATAGGGAGTATTTATAGGAGAAAAGAGGGCTGGGCTTCCAGACTTGGGCCTGGAAGGCCCAGTTACAATAAAAAGGCCAATAAATGGCAAATAAATGGTATCTAATCTATTCTAATGGATACATCTGAATAAATAAAGTGTACAAGGAAATAAATGCTATCTACTGAGCATATGTGGGCCGCTGTCCGGGCCGCTGTCTGGGCCCAATAGTCGTGATACCCAGGGTCCGAGTCTATATACTCTATCATGAGTCCCCCACTCTCTGAGTCAAGAGTACTCGAGGCAAAAGAGAGTAGAACTGTGTGCTGATCTGTCGTCGTCTGATGAGTAAACTGCTGTCGTCGCTGAAGCGCCTCGCCCGGATTCCCAAGCCGATGATCCGATCCCATTGACGAGCCCTGACCGAGGCAACCCTGTGGGAGGATCCTCCGCCGAAGGTCGCAGACCAGAGACCATCACCACCGGTCTTGAGGCCGGGGGGCTATGTATATGTACTGGCCAATGTGGCAGTTGAATATGTATGTGATATGATGATGTTGTCGGTGTGTGTGGCAATCCTTGCAAAAATTTTGAATTTCTGCTTCTTTGGCAACAGAGGCGCTAAGTCCCCCGCTCTCCCAGTCCCCCACTCCTTGAGGCGAGTGTAATGAGGTGAAGAGGAGTAGAGTAATGCATGTCTGATGATGTCTGCGACAGGGGGCCGAGGGTGACACCTTTTGATCCACAATGGGGAGATGCCTCGTTAAAAACCTCATTAGGAAAAACCCTGTGGGAAAAAATCCTAATGAGGGAAAAAGAGTACACCGGATGCCCCCAAAACGAAGCAAAAGGTGCGAGCCCTTCGGCCTAGAGATGGAGCTGCAGCGGTGTCCGTCTGCTGAGGGGATGGCAGAGGCCGATCCCTAGATGTGGGTAGCTCGTCATGATCAGTAGTCCTAGTCATCAAATAAAGATGACTAAGGGATGGGTCGAGCGACCGTCCATAATATGATGTTTGGTTCATCAAATAAAGATGACCAGAATATAAGGCTGACGGGCTGATATAAGCTCCACGTCATCAAATAAAGATGACTGGGAGTAGTGGCCGAGAGGCATATATGAGAGCTCCACGTCATCGAATAAGGATGACGGGGCGATGTGTGGCTGAGGGGCCTGTATAAGGGCTCCACATCGTCAAATATAGACGACGGGGCGATGTATGGCCGAGGGGCCTGCATAAGAGCTCCACGTCGTAAAATAAAGACGACGGGGTGATGTATGGCCGAGGGGCCTGCATAAGAGCTCCACGTCGTCAAATAAAGACGACGAAGCGAGATATGGCTAAGAGGCCTATAGATGAGTTCTTCGTCATTAAATAAAGATGACAAAGCGGTATATGGCCGATGGGCCTGTAGATGAGCTCTTCGTCATCAAATAAAGATGGCAGAGCGGTATATGGCCGAGGGGCCTGTAGATGAGCTTCTCGTCATCAAATAAAGATGACGGAGCAAGATATATGGCCGATGGGCCTGTATGAGCTCTTCGTCATCAAATAAAGATGACAGAGCGATATGGCCGATGGGCCTATAGATGAGCTCTTTGTCATCAAATAAAGATGACAGAGTGATATACGGCCGATGGGCCTGTAGATGAGCTTCTCGTCATCAAATAAAGATGACAGAGCGATATATGGCCGAGGGGCCTGTAGATGACATCTGGGATCCTTTAGTCTTTCAGCCGGAGATCGCAAGATGTTTGCTAGATCCGAACATGAGGACGAGGCGTGGGACGCCTGTCTGAATATGAGGACGAGGCGTTGGAAGCCTGTCTGAATATGAGGACGAGGCGTTGGACGCCTGTCTGAATATGAGGACGAGGCGTTGGACGCCTGTCTGAATATGAGGACGAGGCGTTGGACGCCTGTCTGAATATGAGGACGAGGCATGGGATGCCCGTCTGATGATACGATGAAGAGGCAATGCTGAGCCCATCATCATATAGAGGCGATCGCTAACCCAAGACATTCGGCAATGAGAGGCCGGTCTCGGAGATAGGACATCACATCGTGGCCTAGGGGCCAATCGTGATGTGAGGACAACCGTGATAAGGAGCCGATCCAAAATAACGATGACGAGGCAATGATAAGCCGGTCGCCATGTAGGGGCGATAGTCACCATCCAGGAAGGGATGGCGAGCCTGATCGCCAGCTCAACACACTCGGCGCTGATGAAGCCGATGTTGAGATAGATCATCACGCTGAGGCCGGGGCGGCGGTCGTGATATGAGGATGGCGATAATGGGTAGCCGATCCGAATAATGATGACGAGGCAGAGATGAGCCGGTCGTCATGTAGAGGCGACGGTCGCCATCCAGAAAGGGATGGGGAGCCCGATCGCTAGCTCAACACACTCGGCGCTGGTGAAGCCGATGTTGAGATAGATCATCACGCTGAGGTCGGGGCGGCGGTCGTGATATGAGGATGGCGATAATGGGTAGCCGATCCGAATAATGATGACGAGGCAGAGATGAGCCGGTCGTCATGTAGAGGCGACGGTCGCCATCCAGGAAGGGATGGGGAGCCCGATCGCTAGCTCAACACACTTGGAGCTGATGAAGCCGGTGTTGAGATAGGGCATCACGTCGAGGCCAGGGGACCGATCGTGATGCGAGGTCATCAGCACTATGAGGCTGAGCCAAACGTCCAAGCAACGGTCGCCATCCGATGAAGGAATGACTGAGACCGGTCATGGGGAATATGATCACGTCGAGGCCGAGGGCCTTCCATGATGTGAGGGTATCGGCACTGAGGGGCCGACCCAAAAATCCATGCAATGGTCGCCACCCAGTAAAGGAATGGCTAAGACCAGTCTTGATATAAGGTACCGCGCCTTGGCCGAGAGGCCGGCCGCAATGCGAGGACGACGACTATGATAAGCTGGTCCAATGTATGATGACGAGGCAATGATAGGCCAATCGTCATGTAGAGGCGACGGTTGCTATCCCGGAAGGGAATAGCAAGCCCAATCGCTAGATCAAGACACTCGGCGCTGAGGGAGCCGGTCTTGAGATAAAGCATTACGTCGTGGCCGAAGGGCCCGATCATGATTTGAGGACGAAGATGCTAAGGAGCATGTCCGAGATATGATGACGAGGCAATGATAAGGCCGATCGTCATATAGAGGCAACGGTCACCATCCAGGAAGGGACGGCGAGCCCGATTGTCACCTCAAGACACTTGGCGATGAGAAGCCGGTCTTGAGAAGAAATAATCACGCCAAGGCCGGGAGGCCGGTCGTGATGTGCGGATGGCGATGATGATGAGCCGATCCGAATAATGATGATGACGAGGCGGAGATGAACCGATCGTCATGTAGAGGCGACAGTTGCTATCCCGGAAGGGAATAGCAAGCCCAGTCGCTAGCTCAAGACGCTTGGCGCTAAGGAGGCCGGTCTTGAGATAAAGCATCACGCCGAGGCCGGGGGCCTGGTCGTGATGAGCGAACGGCGATGCTGATGAGCCGATCCGGATGATGACGAGGCGATGATGAAGCCGATCGTCATATAGAGGTGACGGTTGCTATCCCGGAAGGGAATAGCAAGCCCGGTCGCTAGCTCAAGACATTTGGCGCTGAGGGAGCCGGTCTTGAGCTAGATCATCACGTCGAGGCCGGGGGGGCGACCGTGATGTGCGGATGGCGATGATGATGAGCCGATCCGAATAATGATG